TGTCCGGTCTCCATAAAACAGTCTATAGCTGACTGCAACCACTCTGATCAGACAGGAGGTGCAGCAGGCAGCACTGCCGCAGCTCTTTAAGGTTCGGCTTCTATAAAATGGGGGTTGTCATCCCACGTAGCTCAAGATTTTGTGGATTAACAGATTCATATAGTTTGCTTAAAAAGAGGAACCATCGGCCCGTCTCAGTGGCTCACGCCTGTAATCCCAACACTTTGGGAGGCCAAGGTGGACGCATCACGAGTCAGGAGATGGAAACCAGCATGGCTAACACGGTGAAACCCCATCTCTATTAAAACTACCAAAAATTAGACGGGCGTGGTGGCATGCGCCTGTAGTCCCAGCTTCTCGGGAGGCTGAGGTGGGAGAATCGCTTGAACCCGGGAGGCGGAGGTTGCAGTGAGCCGAGATCCGCCACTGCATTCCAGACTGGGAAACAGAGCGAGACTCCGCCTCAAAACAAAAACCAAAAAAAAGTGCTCCACAACTGTTAGCTAACGTTGGCCCGTAGTAGTCCAAAATCTAAAGAAAACTCACCAGGATGCAGGACATCGGGGGCCAGTTAGGAAAAAATCAGATCCTGTCTTCAGTGGAGCACTTACGCCCTGACTTACTCTCCCGAAATGGCTCCACGAAAGGGGACCTCCACCCGAGCTTAGCCCGGGATCCAGTACCTGAGCCTTCCCCCGCGCTGAGAGCCTGGACACCAGCCTCTGAATGTGAGCTGGGCTGCTGGCGCGGAACCGAGACGACGTTGGTCAACGCTTCAGGAGGTTGTGGTTCCATGGAGACGGATCCTGCACACGGGTTTAAGGTGTGTGGGGGCAAAGGGGAGCTCAGAACAGGGTGCTCAGATCCGACCGTCAGTCCAGGATCGGCGTGAGCTTAGATCGTCGAACCTCGGATCCGACCGGCAGTCCAGGATCGGAGTGAAGCAGTGATCTCACCGCTCCTGCCACGTGCACTGGGAAAGAAGGCCAAGCCGCAATGCGGTCGGTGAGCGAGCGCGCTTCCATAGCGCGCATGCGCTCCTTTTTCGCGCTGCAAGTTCATGTAGCGCTTTGTCTACGCCCCCCTGCCCCGGATCTCTCTACCCACAACTCCCCGGGGTCGCTGGCGGTCAATGTATGCGCGTGCGCTTCCATAGCCCCACCCACGAATCCCGTGGGCCTCTGCGGGAAGATATTTAAGCGTCTCTCGGCGCTCCCATCGGCCTCATTGCTCCACTTGGTTAGGTGAGTGATTCGTAGGCTTCCTAGCTGTTAAGTATTTGGTGTTTTTGTTGTTTTTGTTTTTGTACGTTATGCGAACACGGCATAGTACGCGCAATACCTTCTGTGTTGTAGCTGTCTGGCCAGGATGACAGGCCGTTGAGGTCTTGGGCATGGCCTCGAGGCTTCAAAGCAGCTTCGGGCCTTTTTGAAGGACAAAATGGCGATGGTGGGTCGTGCAGGTGGCCCTGTCTATGATGAGGAACTTTTCACAGACCTGTACTGAGCTCCGTGAGGATAAGTAACTCTGAGGAGACGGGCCCTGCAAACCTATTTAGCCGTTCAGAAAATAACGTTTTCAAAATACCCTGTGCTGACATAATGTCGTCTTGGGTTCTTGTTTGCAGGGTTTACGCGCACGTTTGAGTCGAAAAGAATTCTATCGTTACAGTAAGTTTTTATGGCCATTTCTTAATCTCTGTTCTTTAACTGTGTGTGGAAGTCGCTACGGGGATGATTTTACTAACTGAACTCTCTCTTTCTGATGGATTAGTGGAGAAAACAACATTTCTGAGTAGCACTGTACTGTAAGCAACAAACCTCAGGGGCCTGCTGAATTCATATTGAGGTGTTAGTGAAGGGTGTTATTTTTCAGATGTTCAGCCCACAAGAGGTTACTGGTGAAGAAATGGGACAAGACCCATCTTTCGGCAAAGCCAACGTTTCAGTAATGCTCCAGGTAGGTTTACCTGGTTCATGCTATTACGGAGGTAGATAACCACTCCGTGATGAACACAAAATGACAAGCATATGGCTGAACTTTAAAGTGATGTCATCTTACTACTGAGAAGTGGGCCAGAGGTCTTACGGTGTTTTTGAGTGGCTATTTTTAGGTTCATAAAATGCCTTCCTCTGTTTGCAGCATCTCACAGTCTATCCTGAGGAATTCAAATGCCTCCCAGGGTGAATACAGGTAATTATCCAAATCAATTGGGGGATGTCATCTCTAAATGTTCACAAGAGGCAAGTGGTCGGCGGAAGCAATACTGCTTTTTGTCGCCTTCCATCTTGTTTCTCTTGAAATGATTTTCTGGGGAGGGAGAAGGCAGCCCAGTGCTACAGTGCTTCTTAAGGGTGCGTGTTTCCCTCATCAACGTAACACATTACTGTCAGATGATTTGAATTGATGAGCTGATGTCCTGTGAGGTACCAAAGTTAATAGCATGTTAGAGTTCTGATGGCAGTTGTTGTTTATGAGGAAGCTTCATTCCATCCTAATACCTTAAAATAATTAATTTGCTCACCTTTCCAGGTAGTCCTGCTGATAGTCTGCTTCTATCTTAAAGTAAGTTGGTTTTTCAGTTGTATGAGTATTATCCAGCTTGGCCGTCTTGGTACTTGTTTCCAAAGTCTGCTTAACCCATAAAGTTGGCTGGTTTCTCTTGTTCTCTGTAGTGATGTTTCAAAGCCCCACCTTTTTTCTCGCAGATAACCACTGACGTGCCCAGGATCAGACAAATGCTTTTTAGTTGTAGCTTTCTCCAGGGTTCAGCCTTAACCCCCTGTTAAAGCATGGGAACAAATCATTGTGAACCCGCCAGTTTTAACTGGAAGAGAGCATGAAAGCTTATTCCATAAGGAACTGTCTGGGGCATTTGGTTACCTTTTCTTAGCTTGTCCCTAGCAACCATAACTAAAATAGTTTTAGCTGTTTTGGGATAATTAGCTAATTGAATGTTTTTTATTATTATTATTCAGGAGCAGTTTGTTGCCATTTACTGTTGAAAAGCCTTTGAAGCCGAGAGGTTAGTTGATGTTTTTGTTGTTACTTGCAGCTTATACCACCAAGTAGGCAGTTTCTATGATGAATCAAACTAGCTCACTATGACTGACAGTGAAAACACATGAACACCTGAGAAACTTGAGAATGCAAGGGAGTGAGGGGTCACCATATGTCTGAGGAATCTTTCATTCACAGACTTGTTTTTCTCTAGGTGCTATTACCAATAACTTGCTTTTGGGCTCAAAGGTGAGTAATTTCACTGTATTCAGTGCATTCAGCATATAGAGCAGGAAAAAGTGCCTTTTTAGGCCTCTGTGATGACTTAAATAGAATCTCGTTCGGCTGATAACTTGCTGTTGAGACTCTAAAATCTGATTTTCTAGGAATGATAACTTGGGTGGGAACAACTTGGTGCAAGGTATCAGACATTACTGACTAGGTCTTCCTCCCTTCAGGGCCCGTACCTTCTCTCTACAGCCCAAGGGGAATTTGAGGTAAATGCCTTTGCAATGGCTACCATCAATGGTTGTCATTTTTGTGTGTGATACCACTGTGTTCTGGATGAATGTGTACAGGCATTACTTGCCTAGCCAAAGTCTTGAATCATTCCTGAACCACCAGTGAGTTCCTGCTCACCAGTGATGAGTTGAATACCGCCCCAGTCTGATCAGAGTGACTGAATGGTGTTTTCTGAGCTGTGAGCCTGCTTTGCAATGACATTCTAAAAATTAGAAGTTAATTGAGGAGGCCTTCTTTACAGCCAGTAAGTTTCTTGGCCTAAGTGCTTCCTGTAAAATGTGCCCTGAAACCTTCTGGCAAGCAACACATACACTGGAAAGATAGTAAAATGAAAGTCTCTCAAAACTTTTTTCTTGATTTTGTAGGAAAACTAGATGTTTCTGCTCACCTCCAAACTGAAGTTATAGGTAAGTAAACCTAACTGTAAGGTGGGCTAAGCTAAAATTTCCCAATGAAGAAACTTTCACACGTCTTACCCTCTGTCCTAGTCCCAGAGCCTGTAAAGGTGAACCCACTGGGACTGGCTGGGGGAGAAGAGGAAGGTTTGTTCCAGAAGGAACTGTCTGAGGAGCCATAAATATTTCTGTGCAGAGAAAGGGAGTAATCATCATTTATTGAAAACATTGGTTTTATTTTTTCCAGGTCTGAGTAAAGAACAAGGTATATATAAGTGGTAGGTATCTGACTAAATATTTAACTGGTTTTAAAATAGCCTTTAATAAGCTCCTAGGTTACATGGTATTAAATATTCTATTGATTTGTATTTTTCAATCCATATTGATTTGTATTTTTCAATCCAGTGACTTTTTTTCCTCTGCAGGAATCTGTCTTGAACATTAGAAGGTGAATTTTACAAGTCCTTGGACAACTTGGCTGTTGAAGTTTACATACTGTCATTTTAGTCTTCAGTTCATGTTTTAAGCCTTACTGTAAATCATGCTTTTGGTTGGGTCTACCTGGGCACAAGCAAGTAAGCCCTGAGAGTTTGCTGTTTCAACTGAGTTTTACCCAGCTTCATTGGCAATCTGCCCTAATACTGGATTTCCTAACCCAAGGCAGCATTCAAGGAGCTTAATTTATCAGCATACTTAAGAGACTTATTCCCTAGATGTACACCACTGAAGCAATCTTGAATGAAAAGCTTGCAGGGTTTGGGTGTTTTGGCCTCACCATAATGTGAACAAGTTGCTTTGAGTTGCTATTAATTTCAATTTCTGTTACTATATTGGTTGTTGGTGAAAATAATAAAATACTTAGTACTGAGGTTTAGTTTTGTTTTTTGCATCTCCTTTGCTAGCAGTTGGGGCTTGGGACTACAGTAGAGGTGCTATCTCACCATGTTTGCCAGGCTGGCCAGGATTTGTCCTGACCTCAAGTGACCTTCCCACCTCCCAAATAGTGCTTTTTCACTGATCTTGGGAAAGAAGGGAGAGCACAGGGACAGTGCCAACCTGTGGGTACTGTGGGGTAGAGGGTTACCTATGGTTAGGTCAGCAGCTCTCAGTTTTTTCAGATGCTCATTTCTGTTACCCAGGCTGGAGAATGCTTGTGTGATCATGGCTCACTGCACCCTGGGCACCAGTGATTCTCCCACCTCACCTTCCTGAATAGCTGGGACCACAGGTAGACACCAGCATGCCCAACTAATTTTGTATTTTTTGCAGAGACAGTTTCACAATGTTACCCAGGCTGCTCTCGAACTCCTTAGTTCTGGGATTACAGACTCTGAAAGTGCTGGGATTACAGACACCTGAATCTGGCCGGGGTTTTTTGTTTTTTTTTTATGAGGTTTCACCATGATGGCCAGGCTGGTCTTGAACTCCTGACCTCAGGTGATCCACCCACCTCAGCCTCCCAAAGTGGTAGGAAGTGCAATGGCATGATCTCGGCTCACCACAACCTCCACCTCCTGGGTTCAAGCAATTCTGCTAAAGCCTCCCAAGTAGCTGGGACTGCAGGCATGTGCCACCATGCCCAGCTAATTTTTTTCTTTTTTCGAGACAGGGTTTCACCATATTGGTTAGACTGGTCTCGAACTCCTGACTTCAGGTGATCGCCCGCCTCAGCCTTCCAAAGTGCTGGGGTTATAGGCGTGAGCCACTGCGCCCAGCCCCAGCTTTGTTTTTTGTAAGCTGAAATGGCACCATTGCACTCCATCCTGGGGAACAAAAATGAAACTCTGCCTCAAAAAATTAATAACCAAGCACAGTGGCCCATGCCTGTAATCCCAGCACTTTGGGAGGCTGAGGGAAACATCATGAGGTCAGCAGTTTGAGATAAGCCTGGCCAACATGGTGAAATCTCTACTGAAAACACAAAAATGAGCTGAGCATGGTGGCACATGCCTATAGTCCCAGCTACTTGGGAAGCTGAGGCGCAAGAATTGCTTGAGCTTCGGAGGTGGAGGTTACAGAAAGAGATGAGACTGGGACAATATGGAGAAATGGAGGAGAAGGCCAGGATGATTGAGGCCTGGCTCCTCACATTTCTTCTGTACATTAATGACTCGGACTACGATGTCTCTAGCCAGGACATCTTCTCTAAGCTCCAGGTACACCAAACCTCCCACT